CTAGCGCAGTCTAGTAACAAACTGGGTAAATGACAGAAAGGTTGAGAGGTTGATAATTCGGTGCCGGAAGATGCGTGTGGAGTGTCTCCTCCATGGGCTTCTTGGTGTCACAGAAAGCTGGTAAATGCCTTTTCCACTGAAGTGCAGTATTTTCTAATGTAAAAGGGAGAAAATGCAGAATCTTGCACATGCGTTAGGACTTCTTGCTTGTTGCCCTTGGAGAGCATTAAAAACGCATAAACCACATAGACAGGAATAACACAGAAGCACAGAACAGGAGGGGAGGGATCTGTTTCACAAAATTCACTGGTTTTAAGAAAAAAAAGCGCAAGGGAAATTGGGACAGTAATACTTAAACCCAGTCATTATATGCAAAAGGTAGGCAAGAAGGATGTGGCTTGTCTTCAGGCTAGAAAATGGATTTTAGTAGGGGCTGTGATGACTTAAAGTGGGATCTGAAGTTGGTGACACTTGTAATTCTGTGGAAATAATTCTGTGCTGTATTGCAAGATGTATTTGAAGGAGAAATTTCAAACCTACGTGACACTGTGGTGTTGTGCTTTATCCTAGCATCATTCAGCCTTATTTTTGCTATTTTCAGTTAAATGCTGTAGTTTTCCCTACTGTTTAATGATGCCTTTTCAGGTCTTGCAGAAATCAAAACAAGTGCCAAATTAAGTGCTGTTGGCTTTTTTTCTTTTTGGGTAGGTGCTGTGACAAAAGATTATGGACCAAAATAGATTTAAACCATTGTAAATCCATCACTCCACTTATGCTTAGTGGCATTATTAGGAGACAGCCTGTAACCCTTGATCTTAGCTGGACTAATATATCTAAAAAGCAGCTGAGTTGGCTTATCAACAGACTGCCAGGTAAGTGATGTTTTTTGACCACTTCACTACTTTAGCAGAGCGGTTTGTATCTGAACTGCAGTCTCTGAGGAATGTCTGCGGGGATCTGGGTGTCCCAGGAGAGGAGCAGATACGTGGGAATGAAGCATCAGCGAGTTAAACTGGGCCCCAAATCAGTTGGGTTGTGACTATTGACACGCTCGGTGCACTGACTTCCAGCGGGTCTCTGTCAACAGGTGAACGCCGCTGCGGGAAGTGCCTGTGCGGACCTGATCAGTGGGAGGGGGTGGTGGGGTCTGCTGTCACCTGCAGTAACGAAGTTCCAGCTGGTGGGAGAGATGGAGGGGTGAGCAGGAGGAGGCTTAGGGTGTCCCCGCGTGCCCTGGAGGGCTGGGATTGTTCAAGAGAGCGGCACTGGGGTAGCACACTGCCCAGCCTGTGCGGGGTAGCAGCAGAGATCGCCGTGGATGTCTCTCTGGGCAGGCCACATGCTCCAACTTCTTCTGTATCTGCAGGTCTTCGAGACCTGCTGTTGTCAGGGTGCTCATGGATAGCAGTGTCGGCACTTTGTAGTTCCAGTTGTCCTTTACTCCGAACTCTGGACGTGCAGTGGGCAGAAGGACTGAAAGACGCACAAATGAGAGACCTCTTGTCACCACCCACAGATAACCGGCCAGGTAACAGGCGGGAGGAGCACTCGGGAGACCTGTCCCAGCCGTTCTGTGGCATGTTCTGCTGCTAGTCCCCCTTGGAGGAAACGGGCAGAAACCCCCACAGCTAGCGCCGGCGGGGCTCTGGGCTTTGCTGACGCACGAGGTGTTAAGAGTAGTGACTTGCAACACCTCTTTGCTGGAAGCCACTGGGTAACGAGTGATGTTCTCTGGCTGCTGAACAGTCATCTGAGCCACTGTGCTGGTTTTCTGTCTGACTTTCTTCTCTTCAGGCTGCAACGGGTGTACTTTAGAGAGTATGGAAACACTTTCTTCCAGTTCAGGGAAGGAGCAGTTCTGTGGGTCATGCCCCATTCGCCCGGATATCAGCTCAGGTGAAATTTTGAGCAAATCAGATCTGCTTTCTGGCATGCACTGCACAGCCTACTGCTTATTCCCGACTTGTAATTCCGCTGGGCCCCTGCAGTTACTTTCATCCCTTTTTTTGTTTTGAAATCAGGAGGTGGCTTTGTCCACATGCCTGTTCCAAAAATAGACAAGTGTT